TCACCCATGATACCCCCAATGCGTTGCCATTCCTGAGGACTCAGATGTTATTCCTCTGTACCCAGTAAATTAACGCCACATCCCACACTTCAAACACAGTCATGCAAACACAACTGCTTCACGGTAGAAACACGAATGGGACAAAGGTATCCAAGCAATCGACTTTTGTACAAAGTCTCCCTCTGGTAAAACTTAAAAGCGGTTTGCAATTGATTATGTAATAGCGATTCCACAAAAAAGTGATGAGGCCTTATCTTAATAACTTAAAAATTAAAAGAAAAGTATAGAAAGAGTAAACCTTGTTATAGCATACCTCGAAATCTAAAACTCAGATACCTCAAAAACTTAGAAGCAGCAAATAATAGCTGACTCTTGTTGCCAGAATTAAATCACTCGAAAGCCCTGATTTTTTTTCCGAAAGTTACTCTAAGAAATTTTTTTAAGTACAAATATTATGTATGTGTAATAAGAACTCTCAATGGACACTGCAAACTAAACAAGCACATGGCCCAACAAGGCTTATGCCAAAAAGTGTTTGCAGATTTTGTCACAATGAGGAAGAAACGCCGCAGCACTTTGTGGCTGTAGCCCATTCAAATATAAACGTGAAAAGGGACACTATAAAAACATTGCTACAAAAAAAAAAATCTTAAAATTCCTATCACTGATAGGAATTAGGAGCGAACTTTAAAAAAAGGGCGAACACAAAAGATCATGAAAATGTCGCAGTGTTACGTGTTATTTTGTTTAAAAAAAAAGCCCGTATTTCAATAATAATAATAGGAAAAACGAGGATTCGTTCAATTTTCTAACTCCACGTTTATATGCAATTGTTTCAACATTTATATTTTATTGAACAACTCTGTACGTAACGTTCCTTGGTAACTCGGTGCTCGCGTGCGCTCCATTGTGTATATTTGAGGTTGCGGACAATAGCCCCCGCCTGCAGTATAATCGCAATTGGCGAGCGCAATGCACCTTTGTTTTGCCAAGAGTAACTAAGACATGTTAGGGTGTAAGCACAGCGATAGGGGTAAAGGGATTATTAGTACTGAGGTCTAATAGCCCCATTGCTAGCAATATATCCTCTCAGGTCGACCTCCACGCGGTTTTCCCTGGAAACCATCATGGTAAATTCTTGTCGTCTTCATGGTGGGTCAACTGACTTGCATTCCTTCTCACCTATCATCTGCCAATGGTGCCTTGTCGGTGTATACCGATAGTGCAGGCGGGGTTACCATTCCATTTTTACCTATTAAAGAAGCATAGCGATATAACAACAGCCATAAAAATCCGAAATTTTGAAGCCGAATAATAAACAATAACATTTATAATCTTTACTAATATAAACCAGTGATGCTCCTATTCACTTTTGGGTTTGCTGAAAGAGAACTTTTTTAGTGTTAAGCTCGTCTTTGTACATAAGCTTACCTCTGTCATACTTGTTATGTATTATTAGTGTATACAATAAAATATAAATAAATAAAAATAAACCTGAAATGGGTTTATTTGGTTGATATCGTTTGGTGTTTTAACGGCACAAATAATTTCCATAAAATTAGGCATTCGAGTAGCCATAGACTGTGGGAACAGCTAGTATTAAACTAACGAAACTAATATACAATATCGAGCGTATGGGATATTTTACGGTAAAGTCAATGGGGCTTAAAGCACTCTCCGTCTATGGACTCCATTTTATATGAACGTACCGTTCTCATTCCCAAGGAAATATCGATAACTAAAACTAACCAAACTAACTTTTACGTTTATAATATAAGTACTATTAAATAGTTTTATTATATTCTGATATATTATGGTGTCTCAAATTATCTAATATATAAAATTCTCGTGTCGCGGTGTCTGTTACCAAACTCCTCCGAAACGGCTTTACCGATTTTTATGAAATTTTGTATGCATATTGGGTAGGTCTGAGAATCGGCCAACATCTATTTTTCACACTCCTCAATGATAGGGGCGAATCCCACCCCTAAATATTTTATTTTTTGGACAATTTATTTTATTTTTATTTTATTATGATTTAGCATTGAAAAATACATACAAATTCAAATTTTCACGCTTTTACGATCAACCCCTGTTGTTTAATCACAATTTTTATATGCCGCAATATGGTTACAAGATGACTTTCGAATATAATAATTGGAGTACGATATATTTTCATGTATAGTTCTAGAAATAATGTATATGGTAAAACAACGTTTACCGAGTCGGCTAGTATTTATATATTTTTTTAATTATATTTATATTATATTTATGAAAGAGGTAGAAACTGAAATAAACATAGATACTCCTCGTGATTCCCCTTCCAGGTAACACGACATTTATATTACTACCATTTCAAATTATTATGTATAAGCCTTTACTTTTAGCCATAAGGGGAGTATCCCCTATACTCCACATGCATGGGTTTTTTCAAGTTGACTCACACAATGTAAGTGCATGTACTGCATTCACATTTGTTAATGACATTCACCTCTAATTTATCTGATACCGAGTTACCGAGTACGGTTGCCATATAAGTGAATACTCAACACGCACACATGTAACTAACCCATTTTTATAATAAACATATGTAACACATAAGCCACGCCTTTTTCTCACAAATTCGATTAAAATTTAAATGAATTATTTATTGGACTTCTATCTCTGTGAATGTTACATTTTTACAATTGTCTAGGCATAGATTTAATAATAATACTGGTTCTGGTTAGCAAGAAGAAATAACAGCTATTTTAAATTTAATACAAATACGAATGTATTGTAACTTATTTATTTTCTTTGGAAATGGTGTAATTTCCTATATACATGGGTTCAATAATTAGCTACTGGCAGACGAATCATTTTATCTAGAATTTCAAACAAGTTAAAGAGTAAAGAAAAAGTTATGAAATCAGATCAAAAACACGCTGATATCCCGAAAACAATGTATATATGAAAATTATGATAATAAAAAGTAGAAATTAGATTCAGGGTGTTTAAAGTTACTTTAGGATCGGTAATGTGCACCTGACAACCTCGCTCTAACGTGCTATTGTAACTATTTACCATCAATCCAAATGGCTGGTCTGTATGTATGTTTAATACCATTTTAGTAAAAAAAAAATTTGTTGGATAAGAAATTAACAAGTCATAACACATAATTATATTCCGGTGAGCGGTAAGTATGGCCGCCCGCCGCGCTGTCTGCAACGTCGCCTAACCGCACAGTCTCATGGCGGGAATAATTGCAACTTCCTACCATCTGCGGCAATCATAACCTACTGATGGAACTGTATGACTCCAGTTACGCATAGCAATGTTACTGTTCCAGACAATACGAGCGATTCATAGCGCGTATAATGAAACGATTGCGACTTCCTTCTTTTGTATTGCTGTGTTCAGTACTCCTGTTGCTAGTTGTTTGATGTTATGGACTTTGGATAGACAGTTGTTTATAATCGTCGTGCATTGTTCTGTTTATTAAGATGGCATGTTACATTATGTAGTCGCCTTCTTCAGAATTTTAATAACCTGCCCCCAGATAAATGGCAACAATTCTATCGCTAACGTGATCATTTAGGTAAATTGAGTGATTTATCTGTAATAACTACTTTACTAATAATTTACCAGAGGGAATCTTTGTGCAAAAGTCGATTGCTTTGGTACCTCTGTCTCATTCGTGTTTCAACCGTAAAGCAGTTGTGTTTGCATAGCTGTTTCGGTTTGAAGGGTGAGATATGGCGTGAATTTACTGGGTACGGAGGAATTACACCTGAGTCCTCAGGAATGGCAACGCATGGGGGGTGAATGGCAAGCAACTCATGGGCGAAACAGTATACTCTGTTATGTCAATGGTACTGCTCTTGTAGGCGACGGTTACCACTTTCCATCGGGTGGGCCGTCAGCTTGTTTGCCATTCTAAGTTGTATAAAAAAACTACTTTATGGTTTAACTTATGTGTAAGCAGTGAGGCTCACAATCGCGTCACAGTCGCTCATGACTCATCATTATCATACCAGTCTTTAACTTTCCACTGTCGAACATAAGCTTCCCCCTTGGGGGGTTTGCCAGTAGTTGCCACGCTTGGCAGGCGCATTGCCAACCGCAGTTTGGCTTTGGAGATGAGATGAAGAAGGACGGTGCTGCCCATCCTTCGCCCTCCCTGAGGTCATCTCTTACGACACCCACGGGTAAAGATGGGGTGGCCTATTCTATGACGGGACCACACAACGATTCGTTTGCTATGCTACTTGTCTAAGGAAACTGCGATTGAGGATATTTCGTCCACGGACATAAATTCTATTTATTTTTTGTTCACCTTTAAATGCGACAATTTAACAATTAACAAGAGAAAGTTCAATTTCACTGATTACAAATCCCCTAAATTCACATTCGCGTGGCCATCCATCCACCTTCATGGTTAATTCCTGATGAATAGATAGATAATTTATTTGCATTACTTACATTTATTTGCACACAAACAACAATAAACATAAATGCACAGTAAAAAAAGATACATGTACAAAAAATAAAAATAAAAAATAAAATGCATAAAATTAGTAAAAAAATTTTCCTTTCATGAGTGTGCCACTGTGACACAAAATGGTCACAACTCAGCTTATTCAACCCTAAAAAGAGCAAAACACTGATATTACTGAATTGATCGCAATGGTCCGATTGACCTGACTTGATTCTCATTTACCATCATTCATTTATTAAATATAAGAAATTTACAACAGCGAGTACATTGGAGCCCGCACTAGGCGAACCTGTATCGCGGGAGTCCATAAGAGATTACCAAGACACGGTGATTTACAAATATAAATTAAATTAAAGTACTAAGCCAGTTTTACGAAAGCAACAAGTTAGAATGAAGTCATTAGTACATAACCAAAGTATACGGATAGAGCATTTCGGGTTACTATTCAATTTTCATGCTATACAAGTAAAAACGCATGTGTTGTGCAAGTGTAGTTTTTTTTAATTTGTCCCTTCTTCCCCAGAATTCGACCACAGACACCAGCAGAGGTGGTAGAGGGATGCGGCGTCTGTGCACGAGCTGGCGGTGCCGCGGGCGAGGGCGGCGTGGCGCTGGGCACCGAACGCGCGTTCTCCTTCGACTATGCCTTCGATCCTCACATCACGCAGCAGGATGTGTACGACACTTGCGTGAGGAAGCTGGTGGAAGCTGCACTCGACGGCTACAACGCTACTGTACTCGCGTATGGTCAGGTCAGTGAAATTGGTAACTTTTTATAATCGTTATTTTCCAAATCCTCTGATTGATGGCTTATTGTACGATAGCGTTACGTGTCCTTTGACACAATTCAAAAAAAAATCAAAAGTTTATTCCTGGGATTCGATTTTAAGATTCTTAATGCTTAATGGTTCATTCTAGACTACAGTCAAGCATTGTGTTCCTAAGCTGATACTGCTCTCATACGTGTATGTAGGATGGGAGCCCTTTTCGTTCAGTTTCTTTGATAGCGTACTCTGTGAATATTCCTTTATATATAAATATTTTTGATTATTCGTTTGTATTGTAGGGATCCGTACAAATTTTTATTGTTTATGAGTGGCGTTTAAATAAGACTTTATCATAAATTGGTAATTGTTTCATAAACGTAAATTATGAATGAATACATTTTTAATACTCGTAATTTAATTGTAGCAAAACCATTTATTTTCATTAAAAAACTAAACTATTATACTAATTTTGATTTTGTACAACTTCTATGAAACTAATGCAAAAGTATATCCTAACAGATAAAAAAAGAAGTTTACAAATTGGTTTACTACTGACGGAATTATGAAATAATAAACATTAAAAAAACCGAATTGAGAATCTCCTTCTTTTTGAAGTCGGTTGAAAATGTAAATAAACATATACCAACATACTATTTGTTGCTAGATATACGTGTATGTGTGTATATATATTATATCACTACGTAACTCTTACTTATGTCCTTTTAAACGTTGTTATAGTGATTGTAAGATTACAAATATAACATACTGGAAGTTTTTGTGTTGCTTGTTTTGAAATTGCTTTTTTTTATAATTATGTCTGAATTACTATTAATAATTATTTTAAGAGGTAAATATTGATAGAAAAAGAAACATTATTTGTGATATTATGATTATAGTGTATCAAATTAATGTATTTTTATTATGTTATTTGGAATGATGAATATATAATTCCAAGTGGCAATTTTCATTTTTTTAAATAATTCTTACTACAAAAAAAAGTTTTTGTTAAATAATAACTATCGTAAATTATTTATGTCAGCTTTACTCATGTTTTAAATTCAGGTATGCCTAAATGTTGATGATAATAGAATAAGAACTCTTATGGAGTTCGAGACTAGTTGGACATCCCCGAATTTAAAATATAAGTAAAGTCAACATTAATTATTCGAAAAGGCTTTATTTGTATTATTCTTTTTGTCTAAAATTCAATAATTTCAATACAAAAGTATATAATATTACATCAATCAAACCTAAAGTAGAACCCCTAATACTATTGTCGACAATTATGGGCAGACCTTTCAAAACATTGCGTGTATAGGGCAATTGGTGCCTACAATTGTAAATATATTCGTAGGTGGTTAGAACTTGTTGGAAACCATTGACCCCATTCTTCTAAAAATATGACAGTTGAACATCTGTAGATGTATGGAGTGAGTTGTGTTGACGCTAGACGCCTATGCAGAAGTGGCGCGTCAACAGTCTGCCATGTTGGATTCGACGCTTCATAGATTTAGGGCCAAGTTAGACTTGACACTTTTAGTATCGACGATCGAGAATTTTGTTTTTCGAAATTCGATGTTGCGTCAAAAGTTTTTAATCCGCACACAAATCCTAGCCATGGTCTTGTTGTTTTTGAGACAGAGATATGAAGAGTTTTCCCTATATTATGTACATACATTCTGATGTAATAGTACTTTAATATTGCCTCTCCTTCCATTCCCTACCATGTTTCACGCCTCTGATAATCGTCGTAATGGTTGTCAAAACCACGCCGGCCATGTATGATGTGGCCCTTACATTTATTTGTGCACATTGCGGCATTGTCGCTTTGTTCAGTGATTGTCGTGGTTTCTATTCACCGTATTATTTATTATTATGTCTAAACAATTTAACTTTTTCTCTTTCCTACTACAACTTTATATGCTTTCAATTTACTCTATTTTGGAATGGAAAGCAAATGTACTTGTACCGCAAAAGTGAAAGCGAAAATGATATCTTTTTGTAATCGTTAGACTTTACCCATGTTGAATCAATATTAATTTTATGTAATTGGCTTGTTGTGAATTAAAGTCCATGTCTAATATTATTATTATTTTAGCTGTTAATTGTCCATTGCTAAATATAGGCCTTCCCCATAAAGGGAGTTTTACCAGTAAGTTTCACGCTTGGCAAATGGTTTGACAACCGCAATTAGGTTTTGGTGATGTTTTAAGAGGAACGCTGCTGTACGTCTCTCGACCATTGAGTTCCTTTGGTCGCCTTTTACGACACCCACACAAAAAGAATAGTAGTGACCCATTCTATGCCGAGATCACACGGATTCTACTTCTAATATAATCATTCTAAATTCAAATTTGTATTTTTACATCTCGTCATTCATTGTTTTTGAATGTTTTTACGATCAAAGTCACTGTTTTTTTTTTTTTTGCTTTTCTAAAGGTAACTTGTCAATTTAAATTTTATACTTTGGGAATCTATCTATATGTAGAATAATATGCCTGTTCATATAAAGTTACAACTACAATCCTAATAGAACAGCGTGAAGGTCTCAGGCTCGTTTAATTACACGTGTGTGTGTGTGTTGTGTATTCGTGTTGTAGGATTATTTACAAACGCACACACTCACATGTATGATAATCGTCTTTAAAATTAATCGAACCTACTCTAATAGAAGCTTCGCTATTCGAACAAGGCGGTGTTTATTTTTATTAAAAAATAATTAGCTTGTCTCAATAAGGTATTCGATAAATGATCATGTAATTAATTAATTTTTATTCATCTTTAATTTGCATAACTGGTAAGTTATATGTTTATGTAACTACTACTTGGAGCACAAATTAACAAAAATCTTGGCAAATTTTATATCCAGTTGCATATCTTTTGTAGCTTATATTTGGAAATATAAAATTTAAATGACCAATTTTGGAAAATTTATCGGTAAGCAATTCTTCTTTTCGTGGTTTTAGGCGAAATCCGACGTATACAAAGATAGTTACAAGCAGCTACTGCTAAAAATGCGATATGTAACAATGGATAGTACTTATAATAATAATTAAGTGTATGCTTAGAAAATTAAGAAAGCATATGAGAGAAGTTCTTACCAGTAGGAAGGTTCATGCAAAAATCTTATAAAATCCGTCAGAAGAATCGCAAGGCATATTTTTTTTATACAACTTAGAATGGCAAACAAACTGACGGCCCACCTGATGTAAAGTGGTAACCGTCGCCTATAGACATGAGCAGTACCATGGACATAACAGAGTATACTGTTTCGCCCATGATACTCCCCACGCGTTGCCATTCCTGAGGACTCAGGTGTTATTCCTCTGTACCCAGTAAATTCACGCCATATGCCACCCTTTAAACCGAAACACAGCCATGCAAACACAACTGCTTCACGATTGAAACACGAATGGGACAGAGGTACCCAAGCAATCGACTTTTGTACAAAGTCTCCTCTGGTAAAATATTATATATATATAATATATTTTACCAGATATATATAGGCATATTCTTATCGTTTGTTACAAAAAAATACCTACTGACGATCATTTGATGATGACAAGTGAAATAATCTCGTTATGTGAGTAAGATACCAATTTGGAATCATAAACATAGTTATCTTAATAGGGTCGTAAAGCAAATTGTGAACAATATACGAGTGTCAAATAAAAAAAAAAGTTGCGTGCACGTACGTCAATTTGCTACACTAAAATTGCTTAATAGCGCAGTTAAACTCTTTAAAATTACAATTTGTCATCTTTGTGGTACGGTTTATGTAAATATAATAATGACGTATTATATTATTATTATTATATACTATCGCTGTGTGTACTCTTGCATAGAATGGACCACCCCTTCCTTGCCCGTGGGTGTCGTAAGAGGCGACTAAGGGAGAATGAGGGATGGCCAGCAGCGTCCCTCTTAAAATATCTCTAAAAGTCTAACTGCAGTTGGCAATTATTTGTATAGATTTATTATTTGTATTATATAGCAACATTCCAAAATTTAATCATAATTGTGATTTAAAAATTTTGTAAATAAATTCATTTAAATGCCTATAGATTTTTTATTCTATTAATAAACAATAAATATTTGTATTTTAAAATTAGAATAATTTCTTAGAGTAACAACTCAACAACAACTTTTAAATAAAAAGGCGATAGAAATGCGCTCGACATTACCCTAAGCGCTTAAAGTTACTAATAAGGTACCTACCATAAGCCAATTTTCTTTAATCACGTTGGATTATACTGAAATTTTCTAGTTAAATGTACTATTAGAATTACTAATTGGATATTTTTATGTTGTAACTAAAAAAATAAAGTACTTTCCATAAGAACTCTTCAAGACTTCTTAGTTGCTTACGGCACGCTACCCTTAGGAAGCGAGGTTTTTTGCTATGGTCCGTTTTATATCCAAACCAATAAGACAGTTGCAAAAAAAAAAAGTAGATATTAGAAGTTGTCAGGCCTCCAATGAATATTAACGACCAATTCTAGCATCGAAACAGAAACCACGTTGATTTCTCGCGTTAAAAATTTTCGCTTCATCACTGTCTGAAAAATACACTGACATGGATATATGTAGACAACGCCTCGATTTATATTAAAACTAAGCGTTTCACATTTTATCTACTCACTATGACGTTGTGAAAGCTATTTATTGATTACAAACTCCTTCCGCATTTAATTCTTTCTAAATTACCACCTACAATTTTGATTGTGTCTATTAAAAAAAGGGCATTGTCAATTCATCTGAATTTTTTGTACACGTTACGCAATGTTTTTCTCAATTTTAAATCAATTTGACAATTGTTTTTGTGTTTTGATAGCGTTTATTGTTCCTTGTTGATTCTATATTAATTCTGTGATTATTTGATGGCGCAAAATCCTGTTTGTTGCGAACTAAAATGTACTTGTTCAGGTACAGATAGAATTCAATGTTTAATTATTTTGCTGATGAATTATTTTGTTTAATTTCACTACCATTGGTATGTGTGTCACTGCCAACACTAAAAAATTGACCACCACTCTTACTACCAGAAGTTCCACAATTCTATGTTTAAACATGAAATTTTCTTTACATATTTTTAATCTATATCTCTACAAAACATCTTGTCGTTCATCGACATTGTCACGATAGAACTTTTTTTTTAACATTATATACTTGTTATCAATTAGTCAATTAAATTATTTCCTAAACAAGTTTCATGTAGAGACTGATCTCTACATCTATCTAAATTCTAAATTAGCTTACCGAGTCAAATAGATTAATGTAGTCTACAAAATTGCCACATCAACAAACATGCAGTTGCGACATCTATTTAAATCCATGTCTACGGAGGTAAGTGACTTCATTTTGCAGTCTCATGGCCAATTTGTCGTTCCCGTTTAATTCAACTGCCATTTCGCACGCATCCATGTAAATGCCCGTGTAGTGGTCGCGCCTACTCGTTTCGTATTGATATGAAGTTATGATCGAATTAACATCAAATTGAACTCGTCGGTAGTAATTTTCACGTTTAGTAACATGCTAATCTAAAAATAGCACGTGCTTAAATGATAATTTATTTTGCATTACATATTAAATTTGTAAAATAGTTTGGTAATTGGATAGATGTAAACGAAAAGCAAAAAATTATTTTGGTAAGAAGAAATGACAAAACTGTTGATATTATGAAGTATTTATAGCAGTGTTTCTTACC